TTTTCCTGTCATTTTTCTGATGAATATCATGGTGTTGGTGGCAGGTTCCAATTGCCTGATCCATAAGCTCTGTGTGCTACATTTATTAAAGCCTATTTAATATGTCATGACTTGCAATCACCAATCATGTAGTAGTACTAACGTCTTTATATTGTACAGGTTTTATACTCATTGTTGATGAAAGTGGTGCGCTTGGCGGGCACAGATCTGAGTTAGATTGATGTACAACTCGCTAATGTATTTGGAGAAATCGACAGCTAACAGATTGCCAAATCTCTTTAGGGATGCATTCTACATGTTTATGGGACACATATGTGGTGAATCTTGGTTGCCTGAAACTGCCTGAAATCAGTATGTGCTTATTGCCCATCTGGTTTCTAACTTCAGCGAGATTTTTTCTCTTTGCATGGCGTTTTTATGAGCTTCAAACATATTAGATTAATTGCTGATAGACACCCTGTACTATCGCCCAATTGCAGATGGACCCTTGGAGTTTTATTGTTGCAGATAGACCCCCTGAGTGAAAATATTTTGACCTCTTACCCTCAAAAAAAGAGGAAAATTAGCTTTTGACGAAAATAGACCAGAGGGTAAAAAGCACTTCACTGAGGGGTCTATATGCAACAATTACTTCACTCAGGCGTCTATGTGCAACAATTGAACTACTGCGTTCCACCTGCAGTTAGGCAATACTGCAAGGACTCTATTAGCGATGAACCCTAATTTATTTGTCCCATTTTCTTATCTAAAATTCTGAGAGATCTCTGCTACCTTGACCACAGGGGAGACCAGGGCCAACAAATCGCCATCATATACTCCTGTTTTTGAAATGCAAAAGTATTTTCCCCCCTTTGGATTCACTCACAGAAGTCCCGATTACATGGAGCTTGATTTCTCCATCCTTTCTTACATTCCAAACCTTCTAAACGATCCCATTTTTGCTCGAAATATTTTAGCAGTAAGCCATGAGCTGAGAGAGCATTTCTTTTAGCACCCTCCCCTATATATATATTACCTAACGCAATTGTTCAGCTTTTTGTACCATTTATCATGTAAAATTTTCATGGGGGTGTATGTAAAGGGTGAGAGAATGGTATGCGGATTATTATTTTGTGCTCTAATGGGATGAAGAGACTATTTCAAGTCATGTTTGATGTTTCTATGTTAAGTTTTGGAGACATGAATTGTATTGAAGTTCTGTGTTGCTTTCAGGAGTAGAGGTTGTGTCTTGTTCTCATGTGAACTGTGAAAATCCTGTCAAGCTGTAATGTTGTAAAATTATCATGTATTTGTAAAAGATTAAGCAACAACTAATGAACAAAATGGAGTATTTGAAGCTATGTGCTGATCTGTATTTTTAGTTGACATGCTCTACTTGTATAGCGACATAGACTACTTTTTTGTGTATCTTTATCATTGCTTTTTGAGTCATTGACCGCTCATGGCATGAAAGAATTTTAGTTTCTTATTTCTATCATTCTTATGCTGGCTTGCCACGCTATTTTTTGTGCGTTTTTGTGGGCTAGTAGTGGTGACGAGCTCTTTTTTATTATTATATATATATTGGCACTTGTGAGGACTATTTCGTAAAGTACCGAGATATTCAGCAATGATATGTTGCAAGGTATCTAGATAATTTACAGGGATTTGGTCGAGTTGGAAAACATTTGGTTGATTTGCTCCGCACTGACAGTGACACGCATAGTAGCATCTTCTAATTGTTTAGGCTTGGTTTAGATATCATGTTGTTTTTCTTGTTGTGTTTTTATAGTAAAACATCATGATATTATACCATGGTGTTTTTCTTGTGTTTTTATAATAAAACATCATGGTGTTGTGTTTTTCTCTAGAAATGCTTTCGAAACAGCATGTTGAGTGTTTTTGGTAAACGCTAGTTTGACATGTTACAACGTTAGTATTAAACATATTATTAATATATTATATATTAATTATAATAAAATATATTATAAATAAAATGATATAATATTTACTTTACATTATTATAGTATTATAAATATTAAATATAATACAATATAATATTGTATAATATATTATAATATTATCTTGTACTTTAATATGTTACATTATATTATAATTATTACATATTATTTTAAATAATAATATATTTAATTATTGTGGTATATCAATTTGTTATTGTTATATATTATATAATATTTTTAAAATAATATTATGCTATTATTAATATAATATAATATTATTAATAATATAATATTATTAATAATATTTGTTAATGCTCGTGAATAAACAGTTGATGAGGGTGAGGTTGTCTGCCGAGGAAGGATGATAAAGGATAAAGGGGCCGGCTCCCCCTCCGACTTTATGCCTAGTTCTGAATGTACGCGGTGGACTGATGGCCTGCACACACAAGGAACGTCGGGGTACGGGGCGTGTTTCCCCCATGGTACCTCCGACGGTCAAGTTAGAGGATGAGTTTGAGGGAGGTTTTGGGGAGAGTCCCTGGGCCATTGAGGTCCATGCAGGGTACATTCTCATTTTAGAATTTATTTTCTTAGTTTTTTGAGTTCATAGAATCTGAATCCCAAAAAAGCCTGCTCATCCTTTTTTCTCTCTCTCTCCTCCCCCTCTCCTTCCTCCTTCTTCTCTGGATCCATTGCCTCCCTCTTTATAGGCTGTTGAGGATAGACACGTGACTTCATCAGGGGGTCTGAGGACGTGGGTGGGGGATGAGCTAGAGGCTGAGTCAGCAGTAGTCCTTTCACGTGTCGACTGGCGACTGGAGGAGATACTATTTCGAGATGATCTCGATAAGGCCCCATGATTGATTAGATGGCGTATGGCCGAGAATACGGCGAGGTGCTAAGTCGTCCTTATCTTTACAGATGGCGGTTAGTAATTGGAGGGCGAGGCACTCGCGTACAGAAGGCGCCTCAATAACGTCCCAGGTTTGATGGATAAGGGTAAAGGGAAGATAGGCTGACCGATCTAGCCACTCATTGCTTCACAGATGACAGCTGACGACTGGAGAAAAGGTCGTCTGAGCTCAGAGGGTGTCTTGATTACGTCCCAGAAGTGACTTGTGAGCTCAGAGGGTGTCTTGATTACGTCCCAGAAGTGACTTGGGAATAGAATGAGCCGTCTTTGCATTTAAGACTTCGTCAGAGTTTGAGACTTTTGATGTGACTGATCAATACTGTGGTTGATTGATGTATGTCTTGGAAATAGCTCAGTTGGATGACTCGGATCTTTATCTTCCCAAGCAGGATTGAATTGGAAGGCGGGTCGTTCTCGTAACTTGTTGACTAGATAAGTGAGTCGTCAGCCCAGTCAAACAGCTTGGTAGACAGCCGAGTCGCCACTGGGGGAATCGTCTCGATTGGGAGTTGGGTGGACTCCTGAGTAGTCGCCTTAAAGGCGAAGAGCCGACTGCTTCCGTGCTTCGTGTCGGCTAAAAAGTTTGGCTTTTGGCTAGGCTTTTCAGCTGAGTCGATTTGAATTGTGACTCCATTAGGCTCATGGAGACAGTCCTCTAATCATTTTTGTTGATAAATGATAGATTACCATAACAATATTTATAATAAATTAATATATTACGAATATTTTAATATCATATAATATGTTATAATTTCTAATATGTTAGAGTTTATTAATAATACTTTAATAAATTATGACATAAATAAATATTATTATATTATGAATATATTATTTATACATTAACAGTTGTTAGCAATAAATTATTTTACTTTATAATATATTATATTATTTATTATATAATATAGTAATATTTTATATATTATATTACATTTACCATACAATGTATTATTCATATATTATTTTATTATTATTAAATATGTTACTATTATATCATATTTTATAATTATTAATCTATTACAATTTATTTATTAAAAATTTAATAATATTATAGTAATTATAATATTGTATAATATATTAAAAAATACGTAATATTTAATAGATTAAAAAATAAATAAAGAGAGTTAGTGTTCGGGTCCGAATTGACGGGCGGTGCCCGTAAAAGTCGCACCTTTGCTTCTCTTCGATTCTCTCATTCATTTCATTTAAAACATCTCCTCTCTCTCTCTCTCTCCTCATCACGAAAGTTCAACCTCCACCCTGTCTCTCTCTCTCTCTCTCCAAAAAGTCCCGATTCTTTCCCCAATACCAATCGAAAGCTAAATTAAATTCACTAACAAAACCCTAACCTCGGTACACTTTTGGACTTGTTTTGGATTTGCTTGAAATATTTAGTAATGTATAACGGGATGATGGATCCGGAATTGATGAGGATCGCTCAGGAGCAGATGAGTCGGATCCCTCCTCAAGAGCTCGCCAAGATGCAGCAACAAGTGAGGATCCTCAATCTCTCTCAATTTTATTAGAGTTTCTGCCGTTAATTACAGCCTTAAAATGTTTCGATTTGGTTCCGATCTGTGCTTGATTCGTAATTGAATAGTGGCTGATTTCTTTGAAATTGGATTTGGATCTCGACAGTTCTGGATTTTTTTTTTTGTTTTTGGGATTTGAATTAGGGCAATTAGTTGATTGCTTTGTGCGGGAACGCACAGTACGTGAATTTGTCTTTGCTGTTGCAAAAAAAAAAATCCATCTTGCATTACTTGTAACAATAAATTCCTCAAAATTTATCATTCGAATATTATAGGTATTAATTGTTAACCCCTCCACCAAGAATGATCAGGGTTGATGCCATAAACTTTTGGAGATTGCTGGGCATCACACGACTCATACAGGTGTTCACCATTTTTATTTTTATTTTTTCAGTAGCACTCTAGTGTTGGGCCTTCATCATAGAAAAAAGGAAGGGAAGAAAGAAAAATGCTAAATGTGGTATTTATTTGTAATAAAAAATTGAAATCTTTTTAAGCAATACAGCTGCTTGAAAGGCTACATATTACATTCTAGGGTGATCTCATCATACTGCCTGTTGCTTCACACTGATAATAAATGTTCATTTCTAGCAGTAACCTTTATCTTTATGTGGATAAATAAATATGTTTCATTTGTGGATGATCTTACAGATGATGTCGAACCCTGAGCTCATAAGATTAGCATCAGAAAGTATGAAGAATCTGAGGCCTGATGATCTGAAACGAGCTGCGGAGCAGCTAAAACACACAAGACCTGAGGATATGGTAGAGATCAGTGAGAAAGTGGCTAAAGCTAAGCCGGAAGAGATTGCAGCTATGAAGGCACATGCTGACGCACAAGTCTCTTATGAAATGAGTGCAGCTCAGATGCTGAAGCTGGAGGTTTTATTCTGTCTTTATTAAGTTATGATAAATATTTGTTATAATTATCCTTAACTACGCTGCATGAGGTATAGCTTCCTGTTTGATATGTTAATTAAAGATTTAAACTCATGATGTTTTTGGTGAAATCTGATGAGAAGTAAATGTACAGTGGATGATTGCGAATACATCTTTGTGACAATATCTGGTATCTCATTTTCTTTATCATTTCTTTTTTCATTAATTTATTTCTACTGCAGGATCTGAAGGCGTCACTCTCATGTTGAATTGATTCCTTTTTCTTTTTACTGCTGGAGACTTGATTGTCTGGATTATACTGCTTTGAATGCCTGCCATGTCAGCAACAACCTGGCCCTGAGCGTGTGTCTATGTCTGTGTTTACAGAAAAAAAAGCTATCTGATAAAAGTTAACGTCTAGACTCTTTTCCAGGTCTAATTGTGTGAGATCCGTTTTTTTATATGGAGTGTGGAGATCATCTTTGATCAGCGAAGTATGAGAACCAATTGTTATAAGTAGACTAGAAGCAGAGTGAGAGACGAGCAGATAAATCAAATGCTTATTTAATACAGAAAGGAGTTATTATGTAAAGCTCTGGGATATTTCGTATCACAGGCAATTCAAAGCATTATCAATTTCAATTGTTTTTATGTTCATTTTGCAAGATTATATGCAATGGTTGTCGAGATCATAACCTCTCATAACGTCAGCAGTGCTTATCATAACCTCTCATAACGTCAGCAGTGCTTCTCTGATTCATATACTTTCATACTTGTTCGACAACTGCATGTTTTAATTTAGGAGAAATTGCTTCCAGGTACCCACAGATAAGAATCTAAGCCTCTACAGTCCTTGTCAAAAGACAACTTCTATAAAGCCCTTGGACCCAAAAAAAAACTATTCATTTAANTTTAAGATCTAGTGGGCTAGAAGCAATTTCCCCTTTAATTTATGTGCTAGATAACGTAGTTGTCTATTAATATCTTAAGCATTACCATTTATTTAATTATCTTCTGGTGTTTTTGGCATAATCCGGAGTCTGATTCTATTCTTTTACTTTTTTCTTCTTTTCAGGGGAATAAGCTCCATGGCCGTGGACAATATCACGAGGCTTCTAATAAATATCTTCTTGTATGTCTATATCTTTAGGTTTTACCAATTTCATCATTAATGCTAACTTGTTTTCTGTATCACCAGCAATCTAATTTGTCCAGTGCTGCTCTAACCATTTTGCATTATCAGGCAAAAAACAACTTGAAAGGCATCCCTTCGGCAGAGGCTGGAACTCTTCAGTTGCAGTGTTCTCTTAATCTAATGTCATGTTACCTGAAAACCAGACAATTCGAGGACTGCATTCAGGAAGGTTCAGAGGTACAATCTTGTAAATTAATGCCACTGTCTCTAGTGATTGTGTGCAAAGTAGGTCCAGCAAGCTTAATAAGCACAATATGGAATCAACCCCTTTCTTCCCTTCCTAATCATGGGAATCTATTTCTCTCTTTTTTTCCTTTTTGATTCTCCAACCCCCATCCCCCCCCCCCCACTCCCCACATTTTCCCCCCCCACCCCCCACAAAAAAGTAATGATAATAATAAATATTCTTGTACTTCAGTTTGGAGTTTGCTGGCTCACTCATACATATCGGAGAGCATTCCTAGTGTTATTTGTGGTTGATATATCCATGCCATCCTAGGGACTGTCAATATTGTATGTCTAACCTATGTTTCCCCCACATCTTGTTTATGATGATCATGTCTGCATCCTTGTCCATTCAGATCGTGTTCTTTACAAGAAAAATTTGTTGACTGCATCTAGTGGGACATCAAATAATTAATCTACAGAACCATAATTTTGCGTAACTGTGTTGGATTCTAGACCAGCCACTCTTTTAGTGAACTAAAGTGCATACAGGATTTCTCTCCTTCTTTTTTTTTTTTTTGGGTTGGGTTTTTTTTTTTTTCTTTTTTTTTTTTTTTTTTTGGGGGGGGGGGCACTGTTTTTAGTCCATCCCATTAAAATAAATAGCAAAAATCATGTCAGCAGTTTTGCCAGCAGTGATTTGTTCCATATTCGTTGGAGATTTGTCACACTATTCTGTTTTCTTAGCTTATATATGGGACTCTCTTTTAAAGAATGATTTATGCTTCTTATTACTTTTGCTAAATGGTATTGTTGTTTGAATCCCAGGTTCTCGCTTTTGACTCAAAAAATGTTAAAGCTCTTTATCGCAGAGGTCAAGCATATAAAGAACTTGGAAAATTGGAAGTAAGCTATTTATCATCTAGTATTGCTTTAATTTTGTGAAGAAATCTTCTTTGGGGAGTCCTGGATGTGTGAAACAACTTAATTCAAAAAATGACTTTTTGTAATGATTATCTCTATTCCCCTTAGTTTTTTGGACCTGTATCTTGCCATTACTTTGTGGGATTACGATTGTCTAGCCTTATCATGTAACCTAGTTTGGCGTTTTCTTTGGAAGCTGATCACATTTTGGCAAGAAAGCACTTCAATATTCAGTAGATGTTTTTATTTCTTTCCTTTTGTGTGTGTGTGTGTGTTTTGATAATCAGGCTTCTGTCTCTGACTTGAGAAAGGCACATGAAATTTCCCCAGAAGACGAGACAATAGCAGAAGTTTTCAGGTATAAAATTCCTTGTGTAGATTGGATATCTTATTTGATTGATAAAGACACTGCAGTACTTTATGATACCAATGAATTGTTATGCAATGATGCAGAGATGCTAATGAAAAGTTGATGGAAGGCGGAGACCAGAATACATCAAGAGGTATGTGTATCATCCTTTTCTGAATGAAAGAATGAAATTATTCTTGAGCTGAATTGTAAAATATCACTGCACTTCTCATTCGTTTAACACCTGGGTCTTTTTAGGTGTAGTTATTGAAGAAATTGATGAAGAAGAGACCAGTCCAATTCGATCAGAAAGTCACGAAACCTCATCTGCGGAATGTTCTGTGGCAGAGCCAGTTGAAGCTGCTGCTCGAAACTATGGCCCAAATCTTGGTGTTTCTCCTTCTGAAGCTGAGTGCTTAAAAAGCTTACGCGACAGTCCTGAAGCCATGAGGTGAGATTCATAGCAATTTTGCTTTTCACGCACAAAAGCACTTCTACTAATGTAAGATCTCCTGGGAAAAGTATAATTGCATTCATCTCGAAGTGTCATTTGGTTTCATAACTTTCTTAATCATCATGTTAGTTATGCAGATCTTATAATCTAAAAGCAGGTTAGCATAACTGAATGGCAAAAGTAATTGCAGAGACTCTTTGATTGTCTTCTTGCTAAAATCATTGTTTCCAACCATTAATCAGTTTATCAAAAGGAAAAAAAGGAAGATGAAAGATGTCAATTGAGCTCTATGTAGCAGCAAGGTTCTAAAACATGGTTTCCTTATGCATATGGTCCGGTATCGAGTAGTGATTAATCAGATTATGTGTTTTCTATATATATTATATTATATTATATTATTATATTATTATACTCCTTATAAAAGTACGAGTTTCAGAAAAACTTTCCATAGTCAATATTACCCTTAACCTTTTTAGATATTACATTCTAATCTTATCCTAATTAATAATATATCAAATTTTTTAACAATAAAATCTTTAACTAAAAATTGATATGGAAAGAGATCAAACAGTGAAACTAATTCTCTATCATATTAAAAGATGACATGTGTCTAACTAACTCTATCTTCCTGAGAATTCTAATTAGTTTAAAACAGTTCATATCCATAATTAAAAAATTTTATCTATAAAAAAGTAAAAAAATTTAACAATCACATCTTTGTTAATTCTAAATAATTTGTAACTATCTACAATTACAAAATTTTAAAAATGTCATGTGTCCCTCCTTAATTATTTTAAAAACTTAAATTTTAGTAAATCTCCCATATCTTTGAATTGAGCACTAAATTACTAAATAATTGTAACTCTCACTAAATTCTCAGTAAATTTGATAATTTCAGAAAATATGCAATACGTTTTTATTTTTCGCACTTGACCTTCATAATGAAAATATTAACCCTCAAGCATAGTATATACCCCTCGATACACCCCTCGAATCATTCTTATTTATAAATGATCTTATTCATTTACAAACAATCCTAAAAAAATTTACACTGACTAAAATTAACCCTCAAGCACAATACATACCCCTCAAATAATTCTTATTTACAAATTATCCCATAAAGTTACAAACAATCCTGAAAAATATAAAAAATTACAAATAGCTACCTAAAAATCTAAAATTATAAATAACACAGAAAATATTGAAAGCTACAAACAACTCCTTTAAATTTCTAAAAATTATAAAAAATCCATTGACAAAATCGGGATATTAAAAACAAATCCTTGGAAAAATTAAAAAAAACATATACCCTCCTTAAAAAATCTTAAATTACAAAAAAACCTTTGAAAATCTAAAAATTAAAAAAAGGCTCTTAAAATTCTAAAATTATAAATGACCCAAAAAATGCATAAATTGCAAACAACCTCTTTAAAAAATCCAAAAAGTACAAATAACCCCCTTTAAAATTTGAAAATTACAAATGACCCTTAAATTTTCAGAAATTCAAATGAACACATGAAAAATATAAAATTACAAAAAACCCCATAGAAAGCATAATATAACAAATAGCACCTTAAAATTTTTTAAATTTTAACAACACCTAAAAATCTAAAAAATCATAAACAAGCCCTTAAATTAGAAAATTACAAAGTAATACAAAAAAATAATAAAAGAACAAACATCCCCTAGAATAATCTAGAATTAGATACAAACCCCTTTAAAATCCAAAAATTAAGATCAACAACTTGAAAATTCTAATAATTACTAACAAACCTTTGGAATAATCTGAAAATTATATACATCCATTAATTGGGTTTTTTTACCAAAATTTATTGGGTGTTAAGTAAAAAAATATAAAACTTATTAAGTTGTCAGGGTGTATTTTTGTCATTTGACTACACAAAAACTAACGATGTTAATTTTGCAAGTTTTCTACCAAAAGTTATTGGTGGTTTAGTAAGAGTATTAAAGATATTGGAGATTTAGCTCTAAATACTAAACCTATTGAGGATTTAGTGAAATTTAACCATTTGTTAAGTTTGAGGGTTTGCTGAATTGCAAAAAAACTCTAAAAATCTTTTAAAAAAAGAAAAAAGACTCTTAACATTCTAAAATTATAAATGACACCCAAAAATTAATATATTACAACCAAAAAGTACAAACAACCCTTTAAATTTTAAAAATTATAATCAACTCTCTAAAAATTCAAAAATTCAAAAATTCAAACAAACACTCGAAAAATATGAAAATTACCAAAAAAACTCCATAAAAAGTAAAAATATTATAAAAAACACTAAGAATTTAAAATCGCAAAGAGCTCCCTACAAATCTAAAAAATAATAAACATGCCCTTTAAATTAGAAAATTAAAAAAAAGGCCTCGAGAAAATTGAAAAAAGTACAAATAACCCCAAAAAATCTGAAATTAGAAATAAACTCCTTTAAAATCTAAAAATTACAATCAACCTCTTGAAAAACTTCAATAACTTTAACAATCTTTAAAAATATTTGAAAATTATAAGCATATAGTATTGGGGTTTTTTGCCAAAAACTATTGGGATAAACTAAAAAAGGTAGAGGTTATTGGCCTATTGGGCTATATTTTGGTTATTTGACTACACGTGAACTAATGATGTTAATTTTGAGACTTTTCTGCCAAATGTTATTAGGGGTTTAGTAAGAGTTTTAAAGTTATTTGGGATTTAGTTCCAAACACCAAACTCATTCGAGGTTTAATAAAATTTTCCCCTTTTTAGATTTTCATTTTTTTCATATGTACCTCCTAAATTGTATGTATTTTTAAATGTGTCCGCAAATTATAAGAATCGTAATTTTGCCCATGAAATTATTTTATCAGAAATTCCCCCTAAATCCATCGCTTTTAGTGGGGTTTCCTAACAAAGTTTTAAAGTGAAAGGGTTTTTAATAACCTCTAAATTATAGGGAGTTTCTAATATTTACAAAGTTATGTAGATTATCTAATTATCGTTGAAAGTTAAGGGGAGTTTTCTAAATTTTTGTCTTTAAAATAGTATGCCATGTTCACATAGTTATCTGCACTAAATATGAGATATATCGTGTGCCTAATAATTTATCATATCAAATAGGAAATACACAATATTTTACTATAAGCATCCAACTAAGTGGATTTTTTTAATGACTGGAAAATGGTAGTTTAGAAAGTGAAAAGTTAGATATTTAGACATTTGAAATGTTCATTATGTATATTAATTAGAAACAATAATTTGTGTAAAATTACTCAAATAAGTACTCTTAACTTACAACTACATTCTAATTTAATACATTCCGTTTTAAACATTTTATCTTTCCAATATTATACTTTGTAGACATATTTAAGTTCTTCCCAATGTTTTGATTATGAGATGAGTACAAATAACCCCAAAAAATCTGAAATTAGAAATAAACTCCTTTAAAATCTAAAAATTACAATCAACCTCTTGAAAAACTTCAATAACTTTAACAATCTTTAAAAATATTTGAAAATTATAAGCATATAGTATTGGGGTTTTTTGCCAAAAACTATTGGGATAAACTAAAAAAGGTAGAGGTTATTGGCCTATTGGGCTATATTTTGGTTATTTGACTACACGTGAACTAATGATGTTAATTTTGAGACTTTTCTGCCAAATGTTATTAGGGGTTTAGTAAGAGTTTTAAAGTTATTTGGGATTTAGTTCCAAACACCAAACTCATTCGAGGTTTAATAAAATTTTCCCCTTTTTAGATTTTCATTTTTTTCATATGTACCTCCTAAATTGTATGTATTTTTAAATGTGTCCGCAAATTATAAGAATCGTAATTTTGCCCATGAAATTATTTTATCAGAAATTCCCCCTAAATCCATCGCTTTTAGTGGGGTTTCCTAACAAAGTTTTAAAGTGAAAGGGTTTTTAATAACCTCTAAATTATAGGGAGTTTCTAATATTTACAAAGTTATGTAGATTATCTAATTATCGTTGAAAGTTAAGGGGAGTTTTCTAAATTTTTGTCTTTAAAATAGTATGCCATGTTCACATAGTTATCTGCACTAAATATGAGATATATCGTGTGCCTAATAATTTATCATATCAAATAGGAAATACACAATATTTTACTATAAGCATCCAACTAAGTGGATTTTTTTAATGACTGGAAAATGGTAGTTTAGAAAGTGAAAAGTTAGATATTTAGACATTTGAAATGTTCATTATGTATATTAATTAGAAACAATAATTTGTGTAAAATTACTCAAATAAGTACTCTTAACTTACAACTACATTCTAATTTAATACATTCCGTTTTAAACATTTTATCTTTCCAATATTATACTTTGTAGACATATTTAAGTTCTTCCCAATGTTTTGATTATGAGATGCGCATTAGGCATCATTTCAAAATATTTTAGGATCTTTATCAATTGCGAGCTTTTGAGATGTTCAGTAGGTATTTAATTAAAAATAGCGACGTGAATACAATTACTCAAATAGGTATTATTTAAGTTTTTATTAAGTTTTGATTATGAGATGTTCAATATATATAAAATCAAAAGATCTAGAGTCTTCACCACTTGCAATTATTTTGATAGGTTTGAACTCGAATGACTACATCCCATTAGAATGTCACTATCCATCAGGTATTAAGAAATAAATGAGTCATGATAGAAGGTATAACCGATGTAGTTAAGCTAAAAATTTTCTGAATTGCAAGACTAATCGAATGGGATGGAGAAGAACACTTAAATAAAGAGGGCATCTGATACCCATTAAAAGGATCTAAAGACATGAGTAAATCTCTAATTACATGAAATAGTCAAAGTCGACTATAAAGCAATATTTCACAACCTCAGTTAAGTAAGAAAATAGACCAAAAAGAAACAATAATGATATTTAATCATGTGCACTGCACGTGCATGCAAACTATATATATATATATATATATATATATATATATATATATAATATATGGGATGATAGTTGTGAGGGTGTAACTCATTTAACAAAATAAGAAGCTAAGAGATGAAATAGTGTATGTCCACAACCTTTTGATGTGACAACTAGGGTGGGCCTCATCACATTAGTAAAATAAGCAACCACCTTATACCCAATTTTCCATATTATATATATATATATATATATATATATATATATATATATATATATATATATATATATATATATATATATATATATATATATATATTATATATATATATATATATATAGAGAGAGAATGAGAGAGAGAGAGAGAGAGAGAGAGAGGAATATGGGTATGTTTGGTACCAAACACAAACTTGGGTTTGGTAGTGAGATGACTCATTCTCATCAACTTATTTAAAAGGGGGACTACATTCACATGGGTGCACATGAATTGGATAATTAAGGGGTGGTCATTTTCAAGTGAGGACCATTTGAATGAGTCGATGAGAATTGAGAAAATCATTACAAGCCGCCAAGTTTGTGCTTGGTACGAGGTATATCCATTTTTCTCATGTTTTTTTCATATATATATATATATATATATATATATATATATATATATATATATTATATCTGATAAATAAAAAGGTTGGTGGATAGAGCCATCAATCAGTTTATTCTAGCTTTACTCATTCATCATATATAAAAATATAATAATTCATGAAAAGCTTAACGTTCCAAGCAAAAGACTAACAATAATATCCCCAACCTATTTGTTGGTATACACTTAAAAATAAGACTATAAAAGTTCATAAACTAAAACACTCCTATAAGTCAACACTTTAAAATACTAATAAAAATCATCATTTAGTCTCCTCCTCATCCTCGTAGCAAATGTTCTCATCCATGTCTTCCTCGAAAGAGCTTCAAAGTCATCATCATTTCCCTTATGTAAATCATCTCTAATAGGTCCTTCCTCAATCCCCTCATCGGTCATTGCACTAGAAGAGCCCTCATATTTATCCTTGCCCTTGTACCATGCCTCCTACGTTCTTTTGGTCCTCCTGCGCGGGTCTTCATTTCTTCCACTAGTGGCGGTGGAGAGGAGGCTGCATGATGGTGACCAGGTTTAGGATTTTGAAGTAATGTATTTTCTTGGGATTTTTTTAGGCAACGATTGAGAGTACTTAGGGTAATTTAGTGCGGGTCTAGTCAGGTATATTATGTGCCGCATAATTTCATTATGCGGGCGCATACTCTTTTACCACTTGATTATGCAGTTTGACCGCATAATCAAGTGGGTATCAGCCACCCAACACGTTTGGGTGTCGGGTAGCACTCGAGTGGGTAGAGCGTGTTTTCGAACACTATACCAGGTTTTGAAGGGTGTATGTTCTCCCTAGTTTTATCTAATTTATGAAACGTCATGTACCAGGTTATTCCAAAATTATGTTTCAAATGCCAATCCTGATACATTGGCAGCAATGGGTGCCGGAGGAATGCCACCTGATATGATTAAAACAGCCACAGATATGATTACTAAGATGAAGCCTGAAGATCTTCAAAAAATGCTCGAAGTTGCTTCTTCTTTGAATGGAAAATCTCCAAACTTTCCAAACATTCATGGAGGTGGATCAAAGTTCGGTTCACAAATGCCAGAAATGACACCGGAAATGATTAAGATGGCATCTGATAAGATGTGTAAGATGTCACCTGAAGAGATTCAAAAGATGCTTAAAATTGCATCCTCGATGAATCCTAAAGGCACTCCTTTACCAAACGCTGCTACAACGTTAGGTTCACAAATTCCAGAAATGACACCTGAAATGGTTAAGATGGCCTCTGATAAGATGAGCAGCATGTCACCTGAAGAACTTCAGAAGATGTTTGAAGTGGCATCTTCAATGAATCTTAATGGTGCCCCTTTTTCGAACTCTTCATCAGACAGCACCACCCAGACATCTGGAAGTGGATCACGAGCATCAACTGCTGAAGGGAAATTCAATGATGGAGAAGTAATTGCTCAGGCCTCATCTAGCACTCCGGCTTCATCTACTGATTTGCAGGAGAGTTTGAGAAACTCAATGAAAGACCCAGCTATGCGACAGGTTTGGAGATCTCTTCAAGAAGTCTTATGTTCTACAATTCCTAATCTACATTATGTAGGTTTTTCCCCCTTTATACCAAGTATGTAGTAATTTTCTTTTATGCAACCAATTTGCAGATGTTTACGTCAATGATGAAAAATATCAGTCCAGAAATGATGGCAAATATGAGTGAACAGTATGGAATGAAGCTTTCAAAAGAAGATGCAGAAAAGGTTCAAAAAACTATGTCATCATTATCACCAGAAGACTTGGATAAAATGGTATGGGAACCTTTGATGGATTAGATCCTTAGAAGCTTTTTTGGTGTACTACAGCATTTACTTTATATATATTTAGGGTCATTTTCCCTGCTAACTATTGCGCTAACATTTTTCCTTGAATACCTACATTTGTATTCCACAAAATTTCTTTTATAGATCGATGAAAAACTTGTAAATTTTTTTACTTATGCCTGCTTTTTTTTATTATTGGGCGAACTCTTATTTCACGTATTCCTTGAGCATGTTGGTGAAAATTAGAAGGTGGATGGTATTTTGTGAGATTCTTCGATCCCTCAAAAAAAAGCTAGTAACTAGCGTAGAATTGGACCCAATGGTATAAACCACTTGTATGCCACAAATCTAAGATTAACAGAAACAATTAAAGTAAATGTGATATGGACAACTAATGAGGATGACAAAAGAGAAAGTGCCAAAAATCAATGAAGATCTATGATCTATCTCACGATAAACATGGAGTTCTCAAGAAATTCAAATCTTAGAGGAATGCGCATATTTAATGTGAAGTACATAGAACAGAAAGTGGTAGCAAGTTAGGAATATACGAGGTGAGTAAAGCAAGGAGAGAATGATAAGACTGACAAAAGAAGGGTAGCAGGGCTATGTTGGAAGCCTAAAAGCGATTTCAGTCTTATGCCTTTCTGAGAGTGATGGGAGATTCACAATTAGAAAGAGATGAAAAAGGAAAAAGGAAATAAAAGATTGAAAGGGGGAAAAAAAGAAGGTAAAGAAAGCAAGGTGCTAAACAGTCGATGAAAAGAAAATGGCATACTGGAGAAGGGTGATGGAACATGGAGTTAAAAAGAGCTGACAAAGCTCTGGAGAATTTTGCAACTGAAATTATTACTCTACTCTGATCACAACTTTCGCTCCCTATTTATACGATCATCCACTTTAAGATTTCATGATATTTCATTGAATGTGTGTACTATTACATGAATAAGGGGTTTTTCATTTGCCAAATTTTTGTCGATATAAATTCTGTATGAAACAAATTTCTCTTGTGATATATCTTCTAACCGCAGAAGCTTTTTTCTCCCTCTTATCAGATGAGATGGGCAGAGAGGGCACAAAGAGGTGTCGAAACAGTAAAGAAGACAAAGAACTGGTTGCTGGGAAGACCTGGCTTGATCTTCGCAGTTATCATGTTGGTCCTGGCCTTCATCTTTCATCGGTGGCTAAGCACTAATCTCATTATATATGGCAGAGCCGACTCTTTTGCGGAGAAAGTCCACATATGAATTATTACAGGACTGATACTGATCTTGGAGTTTTTTTTCTGTTTTTATATGTTCTTATCTAGGCCAGTGCTCGTATGAATCACAAAAAAAATATATATATATATGGCTGGGACAATTGATTTCACTCTGCATGTGAAGAGTACTATAGAAAACTAACCTGACTTTTGGGGGAGCAAGTTTGTGGGGTTAGTTCTGTATCAATTAACTTACTTCGCATTCCTTGAAATTTGTTTGGTTGAGATCAACTGTTTGTATGATTGATTTTTGTCAATTATCTAACTTGGTTTGAGGGTGATTTTTTTTTTTTTTCCTTTTTCGATGGAGAAGGAATTATATTGAGTGTCGGCTGCAATCAGAAGCTAAAAGATGTTAAATAGCAGGTAGAGTGTCTTCTTATCATCGTAGCTAGTGCATGTGCTATCCCAATCACATGTTCTAAGCGCCCGCATAACAATTTTGATGGTAGCTCTCTGAAGTCGATGCAAATAAGAATTATGGTCATCAGCATTGTGGATACCAGCAACCTAGGGATGTTAAATGGGCGGGTTTGGGCATTAAATGGGCGGGTCATAAATGGGCGGGCATGTTTTGCCCATTTGCCCATTTATGGCCCATTTAACATTTTTTAAATGGGCGGGTTTTTGCCCGCCCATTTAATAAATGGGCCGCACATTTACCCATTTAACTATAATAGCTAGCGGTGTGCAACGGTCGGTTCGGTTCGGTTTTTACCAAAATTTGAACAACCGAACCGAATCGTCCATAATTCAAAACCGAACCGAACTGTTACAAGTCGGTTCGGTGCGGTTCGGTTCGGTTTGTTTGGTTCTAACTTCATCAAATTTCTTATCAAACAACAAACAGTGTTAAAGAAAAAAAAGATATCAACAAAGTAGGATATTATGAAGCATTAAACACTGATATAATGATATTGTTTTCAACCTATAATGATTCAGAAAATGAGTTTAGGGTTTGAGTCTTTGACTCTTTGGGGACGGGTCGGGTAGGGTTTAAGATCAGAATGAGTAGTATTGCACTATATTCGGTCGGTTCGGATCGGTTCGGGTTAAAAAGTTTTCAAACCGACTCAAACCGCCCTACTCATAAAACCGATTTTTTCGGGTCGGTTCGGTCGATTTTTTCGGTTTGGACCGAACCATGTTCAGCCCTAATAATAGCTATGTATATAATACTTTTGAGGTGTTTTTTGTAAATTTCTAGGGGGCTTTTTGCAAACAATTGGGGGCTTTTCGTAAACTTTTGGGGGGGGGGGTTTACAAACTTTTGGGGTTTTTTCGCAAGCTTTAAGACCTAAAACCAACGATTGCCACTCATGACCTGGTGCTAGGCTTGTGATAAAATACTAACAAATACAACAATATATCACATGAGAACATTGACACAAACTTTGCATTACCATTGCTTGATTTTAGTTCATAAACAGGTTCAACTAACTTTGCTTCCGAATACATTATCTTTATAGATCAATTTGGTAAAGTAATTTTACAAGACAACAACTTGATCAAAGACCTATAACTCTCAATGCAAACTAATCTCTTGGACTGCTCGAAAGAAGCAAATATACTGTAACAACCTTTTTTATATGTTAATGAAAAAACTACTCGATAACTAGTTGACAACCTCCATAAACTCCACAACTAAACAAGAAGAAATCGCAACCATCCGCTCATGAGATCAAAGATGACATGGATCAATGGACGATGTATGTGACAAGGAGTGCAATAAGAGCAGCCCCTCGATCAACTGCCTTACCTGCAAAATACAGTGAAACATGATATTCAAATTAGCAATCTATTTTATTATTTTTCATGCTATATAGAATTTCAAACTTTTGTGAACATACTCCACTTCACTGCATTACTATATGGGATTGAACCCATTTTTTTTATGCATATATCTTGACCAACTTCGCCATGCTGTAATTTTCTCCACTGGTTTATGTAATTCGAAATCTAATCAGGTTGCAAATTGCATAAGCTGTTCTGAGTTGATACTTGATTAAATGCTTTTATTTACTCTGAATATCTAAATACGTACTGCCAGTTTCTCCTTTGCTTCTGGCTTAAGCAACTCAATTCCTTGTAGCTAAAACTCAGTCTTACTCTCTTTGTACACTGTATTAATCTATGGTAGTATGTAATGGTTGCTCCTTAGTACACCGGCTGAAATTACAGTCTCCTTTCTACATGTTCTTTGTCTTTTACTTGAATTTATTTCAAATAACTGGTTGATATGGGCAATCTTAAGTTTAGCCTTTGTACTTAAAAATGCTTTGGTGTTGGCAACGATGGATGCGAGCATTGATGTGGGTTAATGTTAATAAGGGAGCAATAGAAACCTTTAACTTTTACAGAAAATGGGTTTGATGGTGGCACTAATGCATGCGAATTTTGATGTTGGTTTTGTATAGTGACAAGGAAGTTTACAGGTATAGTACCTAACCCCTAAAAATAAAAGGGCAATCATATCAATATATAAGACTAACAATGAGTATACAAGTAAAAACTTCATAATTAGAAAACTGGTGGAGATAAGGCGGGACTAAAATCTAAAAACGTGGTGAAAACTACCTCAGAGATTGGCTTATAATTCCACTCTATTCTCAGCGCATGCGCAGCCCTTCGATACTCCCTACAGTCAAAATGAAGCAAAGAGTTACTCAATTTTGATTAAAACTAGAGCATATTCATCCTAAAATCATGAAAATCATGAAGATTATACAGCAAGATGCAATTTTTCATCTTTTATCATGTAATTTATCAAGAAAATATACAACAGAACAAATCAAAACAAATGAAAAACAACATCTCAAGATTACGCATGAAATGAAACCTTACGAACTCTATTATTTGTGCCACAAATATAAAACATATGGGTTTTCATGCTAACCTATCATTAACTCAATCATGTCATATATTACCTAATATCAAGATACAACACCAATGTCATTATATTCAGATTGGCTCGCCAAATTTTAGGCTTTTAAAATTATAAAAAATTCACCTTCTTGAATCTCAGTGACAATGAGTGGTGAAACTCCTCTACTGTTACTCCATTTCCCCCTCTCTAAGCATCCATAGAATTATACAATATCATATATATGTTGCACATAATTTCAGACAATATGCACGACCAGATGGAATGTTAAGCACAAAATTCTATGAAAATAATCATAAAGATTTGCTAAGTGGCAAGGACAACCGTCTCTGTGGGCATCAGATCAGCTGACGACTGCGTCATTGGTCCAGCTGACGCCCTTGCAAGCGAGGATAGTAACCCTCCCCTCTACAGATCCTTCATGTTTCCAGAATTCGTGAAGGCCTATACGAGCAATATAAAACAATAGGCAAGGAATAAGTGACAATGAGTGGTGAAACTCCTCTACTGTTACTCCATTTCCCCCTCTCTAAGCATCCATAGAATTATACAACATCATATATATATGTTGCACACAATTTCAGACAATATGCACGACCAGATGGAATGTTAAGCACATATTCATCCTTCATGTTTCCAGAATTCGTGAAGGCCTATACGAGCAATATAAAACAATAGGCAAGGAATAAGTGTCGAGTATGTCCTGAATTTATGTCAGTTCTATCCTTATCAGGCCCCAGAAATATGGCAACTCCTGTCGTAATCAAAACCCAAAATCTATGTTAAGCCTTGTCCTAATCAAACATCTTGAGACTCTCATCTAATTATTGGTGATCAGATACTACTGTTAGCAAATTTCCACGCAAGCATCTGTTAGCATGACTTAGGAAAATATTCATAAACTTCTACCAAATATTTATGAACTACCTGCGTAATTCAAAGAACTGCACAAACAAACAAAAGCTATAAGATTAAGGGGGTGTTTGGCAATTTGAAAGTGAATTTAAAATATGTAAGTTACTTTTTTTTACAAATGACTTTTACATCCATGTCAGCACGCAAGTGAAATACAGTGTTTGTTTGAAAAATTAAATTATTATCGAAAGTGCAATGTGAAGATGACGTGGCAAATTAAGATTAATTAGAAAATATAATTAAAATCATTTAATTAAATTACTTACCTTTTTGTCACTTTCATGTGACTTCACCACTTTTTTAGGGGAAGTCAAAATTGCATTAAATCTTATGTGGCAACTTTCTTACATCTCACTTTCATAACCACTTACATGAAAACAAACACCTTAATTGTTAAATGAAAGTAACTTTCTCACTTTCATCTTTCACTTGCATGCAAACAAACACCCCCTAAGTATTGGATTCGCACCAGGAAGAAAGGCAAGTAATCCGATCACAAACAAACCGTATCCCTGAGATATATCAGGAAAAATTAATATTTAGGAAGAAAGGCAAGTAATCTGATCACAAACAAACCGTATCCCTGAGATATATCAGGAAAAATTAATATTTACTCAATCGGAGCTACACTTAAATAAATTAAGAACAAAGCAGGTAGAGCTACTAGAATCAGAGAAACAAAGAGGGATCGCAGTGCTTGGAGCTCAATCCGATCAAAGTTATGAGCATTTTCAACCTAATTCTGAGCATATGCAGTCAAGCAATCCAATTATTTGATCAAAGATTCCATAAACAAGAACAAATTATTTCGGTAAAGGGAGGCATGCATCAAGTAGCAATCTTTAGCTAAATTATTGTATAAATCTGTAAACAAATTGCTAAGAAATTCAATTAAAAGAAGAATTTACTTCAATATCGCAATTTCCTCACCATTTTGGGGATTCGAGGGAACGTAAAGATCAAATGACGGAGTGCAAAGCCCTGTTTGATGAGTAAAGAGAAGCTGGATCCTCGTTTCGCGTCAAGGTCGAGGTCGAGATCGATTTGGAGGCGCAAGAGAGGAGATCGATTGGAGATGCAGGCTGAGGTAGAGGCTGAGATCGAGCAAAGATTGGGGCTGAAATCAAGCGGAAATCGAGGTCGAGTCAAGTCGAGGTCGAGAGGAGATCGAGGCTGAATCCTGGGGCTGAAATCAAGCGGAAATCGAGGTCGAGTCAAGTCGAGGTCGAGAGGAGATCGAGGCTGAATCCAGGCTTGAGATCGAGAAGAGATCAAGGCTGAGAAGGAGCGGAGATTAGAGCTGGAGCTCACCGCGAGAGGAGATCAGAGGCGAGCTCGAGAGGCGGTTGAGGCGGCGGAGGCGGAGGGTCAGGTTCGATGCCGATGAGGAGAGATTGCGATGACGGAAATAAATGAGAAGGGTTAGGCCCTTAGGGCTTCGGGTTTTGGTTTTGGGAATCGGGCGGGCAAATGGGTGAATATAGACTGCCCGTTTATTGTCCATTTAATATAGTTTGAAATGGACCCGCCCAATTAGACCCATTTAACTAAATGGGTGGGTTGTGGACGGGCTAATTGATGGGCGGGCTGGGTGGGTAAATGGGTATGGGCAAATTTTTCCTTCCCTACAGCAACCGCGGTAGCAGCGTCCAATCCTAGCTCTATATTTAGAAATCCCACTTCGTATACAAATGTCACAGTCTCGCGAGCGAGCAAAGGTTTGCATGAAGAAGCGCCATCAACCCAATTAAATCTCCTTTGAAAGGCCAGTCATGAACTCACCTTTCACATTTCTCTCTCACAACTACACCCTCTTGAAAACTGAGGCTCTTGCGATAAAAGAAATTGGGTCTTTGACATTCTGAATCCTGTGGGAAGAGCAAGAGCTAAGATATTCAAACCAAGTCGTATTATATATAACATAGTAATTTTTTCAAAAAACTAACGTACAAATAGGGCCCAACCGGGTTCGAACCGGTGACCTATTGATCTGCAGTCAATTGCTCTACCACTGAGGTATGGACCCGGTCACATTAATTTTAGTACATAACACTAATATTTTCTATTTTGCATCTTGGACCTTATATTCTTTTGGCCAATACTCAATTTGAGCATTGGTGTTTTGCAAAAGTTGAATATATTATTGTCCTGGGCAAGGGAAAAGTTTAAAACCAACATCTAAAGTTCTAGTTATTTCAAGCTTTTGCATGTGGAATTAAAATAAACGCTCCGCCGTTAATCAATAATATTATTTCATCCGGCCAGCCCCTAGTGGACGGTTAGACTTTGATTGAGTAGTTATATTTTGGTTTTTAATTTTTTAAGGGGTCGTGTTATATTTGGCTAAGAAATCACCAAACGACCGATATATATAGTCCTAGAATGAGATTGACAAGCTCTTCAAAAATCACCATCAACCAAAACTCTTCAGAATCTGTGAGGATTAATCTTGGACTAATTTTTGAGATAATATGTTTCTGTTTTGATTCAATGAGGGAGAGAGTGAATGTAATAGGGCTAATTTTAGGAGGAACTTTTTGCACAAAAAAAATGGGTAAACACTAGCCTAATTAACTTTTTCAAACAAGATTCTTTGGAAAACAAGATGAGGATCAATTTTGATCTCATTATAGGAGGCCGCCAAACGGGCCCAGGCCGCTAAAATCTCATTTTGGATCCGCCCTCTTTGCTACAGCCCGAAAAATGATGGGTTTCCCCTTTTTGAACATAACTGTAAGACAATATAAATGAGGTTAATGGTCGTCCTTGTCATATGAGGGGATTCTCGTATATAAAGTGATACGGATGATATACAAACGAACAAAGGAGAAAATACCTCGCGACCACGCTTTCTGAAATACCACTACGTCGATGTATATGAAAAAAATCATTTATGTTGGGCGCAGAGTCACGCCCTCACGCCGCGGAAGCGATATAATCCGAGAGAAAGCCCTGATTTTTATTTTCACAAAAGCTCAGGCCAACATCTATATTCCCGTTTCACAAAGGAAACAAGAACAAAAGTGAAATATATCAACAAAGTGAGATATACACTCTTCCTCTCATCAGTTCTATGACTGACTTATCGAGGGAACCTACAAGCAATAGCCAACACCCATGAAACAGTAAATACACGAGATTTACGTGGTTCGGCAAACTTGCCTACGTCCACGGGAGAATGGGGAGGGGAGATTCCACTATGAAGGAGAACACCGATGACTTGTACAATCCACAAGCTCGTCTCAAAAAAGAAGCATTGATTTTACCCAAAAAAATTGACCTCTCTTGTAAAATCTCTCCAAGCTCTCTCTTTTTCTCTCTCAAGATCCCACCTTTAGATCTGATGTTTTTTCTCTCAAAAACAACTACAGCAAAAAAGCCCTAAGTTTCTAGCCGCAGCAAGCCCTATGTTTCTCCCCTGCAGCAACTCTAGTCGACTGGTATACAAAGCAAAACCCAAGAACGTGGGGGGCACATCCACAAGCGCGGCGGTAAAACAGATCCAAGGTGCGGGTGCGGCCCACCCAAGTCCAGGCTCTCCTATAAATATCAGTCGGCTAGGGTTGCTGCAGGGGAGAAACATAGGGCTTGCTGCGGCTAGAAACTTAGGGCTTTTTTGCTGTAGTTGTTTTTGAGAGAAAAAACATCAGATCTAAACAGAGGGCTTGTTGCGGTTGTTTTTGAGAGAAAAAGCATCAGATCTAAAGGTGAGATCTTGAGAGAAAAAAAGAGAACTTGGAGAGATTTTACAAGAGAGGTCAATTTTTACATTAATAAAATAATATTATTTTACTATGCATGTGGGGCCTACGTCCAAATATTATTTTACTATGCATTAATAAAACAATATTAGTTTACTATACATTAATAAAATAATATTATTTTACTATATATGTGGGGCCCACGTCCAAATTTTTCTTCTTTGGGGCCACCACTTTTAAAAATTTTAAAGAAAACATGGGCGGCTCCGTTAGGCAGCAGCCCATGTGAGAAAAAAAAATATTTAACGAATAAAAGTCGGTGTTTTCTCTCGGGTTATATCGCTTTCACGGCGTGAGGGCGTGACTCTGTGTACAACAATTCCGTATTACGTATGATACTTATTAATCGCGATATAGAGTCAATGTATGTATGCTCAAGTTGTGGGGGAAAGGTTTGCATCCTTGTGCCAAATAGGGCTAGTCAAGATATGAGCTCTAGCTTGCAACGTCTCGTTCGATCGTTCAATGCCCCGCTGTACGAAGTTTAGCTGTCTGTCCCAAACAAACAAAATTAATACGACAACATTTATTGTTTGTCACGATACTTTGGCATGCGGACAACATAGCTGGAACTATTTTTTTCTGGAAGAGTTTAGGTACTTACCATGATTGAGGAAAACAGTAAGTTACAGAAACGCCCTTTATCGAAACCTACAGCCTCCCTTTTGTTCGAACGCCTGACAGAAATACCCCTGTCAGCTGCGCACAGAAAATCCTGACCAAGTTTGAACTACTCCCATATCTATGGAATGTACACTTTAGAGGTGTAAAATGTATCCATATCTTTAATACAACTATAGTTGTCAAATATCTTCATCTAATCTAATGTGCCTGGTTGCCAATATGGATATATAGTGAAATATTCAAAACCGTATCTAAAGTATTCGAATATATATCACAACATATAGCTTCAATTGTTTTGATCCTCGTATTAATAGATTTAAGGTTAATTTTGATGATCAATATTTTAATTAGATGTAATGAACATTTTTAATGTCCTTTTGTATACTATGAACTATATTTTCTTTCAATGTTACATCGTTTCTCATATATGTTTGGTATCCGCATGTATAATCGCGTGTCGTTCATGTCTGTCTCTGATGTTGGCGAATTGAATGCGAGTTTTCTTTACAGAGACATGCTCGAATTCATATTTATTTCAGTGGTTGGTAAATGAATATAGATATGATAAATATCATATTCGACCTGTATCTGATTCGTATTTGATTCGTTAGCGCGCACCACTACACGCAAGGCACTCATCCCTACGATCAAAGAGAAAAGCACGAATCTTTAATAGGAGTAAAGCGTCTCATGCGATCAATACGTTTGCAACCATTCATGAAATGACAAAGATAGTCCGAAAATTTTAATTGTACAAATTTTCATTTTCAAACATTCCGCTCATGCACGCAGAGCGTGTTTTACTCGTATGCTAAATAGCGTATCGTGGATGCCACGTCGCAAAATCTCAGTGTTAACTTGGTTTAATTTGCACAATTTTCTCATTCTTAATTTTTTTTAGGTGCTCTTGCAAAACAAGAAACGTTGTGTGTTTTATTGTTTACACTAGCAAATCATATTTGGTATCGTAAGTTGTTCGCGGGGCCCAACGCATGTGGGCTCGAGTCTCGACAACCAGTCAACCAATGTGCAAAGTTTTTTGCAGGCGGAATTAAATTTGACTTCATGCGAGGGAACAGTAGTTGGGGATTTGAGGATACAATTGACCTAACTAATATCCAATATTAGCCAGGAAAGATAAATGATGAACAAACTCTAACATATACAAATTGCACTCCTTTTTTCAAACGGAATTATGTCTATAAAGAAATTAGTGCACTTGAATATTGGTACATATCTAATTACGGTTTTTCTATAAAATACCCATGAGCATTCTATAAAAGAGGAGAAAGATAGAGAGAAATGAATTATGTACGGAAGTTAATCCGCACGCCTACCCTACAAAGACTTTGTCAATTTTGAACAACCAGCCATTTACCGGACCCCCAGAGCCGAGGACAGAGCGGTCATTACTCCCAACTCCAAGCAATCAAAGTAGAGGGTCATTATGGTCATTAATCCAAGAGAGGGGGTTATTATTATATTTTCCCAAAGAAGTCAACATTATACGATATACTCTCTCTGCTCCCTTTCCTTCTCAAACCAGGATCCTTTTTCATCTCCCTCCAGTTCTCTCCTCTCCTCTCCTCTCTCGGCTCAATGCATAAGTTTCAGTTTCACCCCTCTTTCTCTTAATATTTTCATGTAGTTATTAGTGTATAGAAAGGAATTATATATGTGAACATATAATTGATCATATATGGAAAGCTCCAATTGTATGGGATTTATGGCAGTCTTCGCCGTCTCCAGCAGCATCGCCATCGTCACGTTCCAAGCTCACAAGCGCCTCCTTTCTGATTTCATGAGGAAGGCCCAACTCGAGCTCGGTATGCCAAAAATTTACCCCCCTTTTTTTCTTGTTTTCTTTTTTTTTTTTTTTTTTTACTTTTTTGTTTAATTTTGATCATTTCGCAAGAAAACCCAATTGGGTTGCTTGCATGAGTTGGCCTTTGGTTGTGTATTTTTTTTATTTTTTTCAGGAAAGTTCCATGAAACTCTTGACTTATAATTAGTTGCTTTGGTTGTTGGTTAATTTGATAGTTGAAGGAACTGGGCCCAAGATGAGGCCCAAGAGTGGGCCCAAGAAGAAGGTGAGATTTGCTCCTGATGTTGTCGAGCCATCTTCTAACAATGACCCCCCTTTTTTTTTTTTTTTCTTTTTTTTTTTTTTTTTTTACTTTTTTGTTTAATTTTGATCATTTCGCAAGAAAACCCAATTGGGTTGCTTGCATGAGTTGGCCTTTGGTTGTGTATTTTTTTTATTTTTTTCAGGAAAGTTCCATGAAACTCTTGACTTATAATTAGTTGCTTTGGTTGTTGGTTAATTTGATAGTTGAAGGAACTGGGCCCAAGATGAGGCCCAAGAGTGGGCCCAAGAAGAAGGTGAGATTTGCTCCTGATGTTGTCGAGCCATCTTCTAACAATGAGGAATATAGGAGGAGGAGATCAAAAGCTCAAAGTTGATCATGACGAACTAACTAAAGCTCCTCTCCTCTCCTCTCTTATTGTATTTGTATGTATATTCTTATTTTATTTTATCCCCCCCCCCCCCCC